ATATCTTCTTTCAACAGTGAAAGTCCGTTTAGACGTACCCCAAGAATGTGCCTGTCTCCATTCCCTCACTCACTCACCAACTCGCTCGCTCTCTCACACTGCAAGAGAGCAGGGTGGTGAACACAGGCATCAATCCCCTCAAGTGCAATGCGAGTGAGGAATGGAGAATTAGGTTAGATACCAGAAAAACCTAAATATAAGGACATCTAAGAACTGAAACAAGTTTCCAATGGAGATTGCGGACTCTTTATTATTGGAGATTTCTAAGAACAGGTGAGACAAACACTTGTCAAGGATGGTTGAGGTTTACTTAGTCTATCCCCCATGCCACAGCAGGACCAGATGACCTGTTGAGGTCCCTTCCAGTCCTACGTTTCTACGACTATGACTCTATAAACAGTTCTTTCTGAAATATGGTGGGATGACAGGCTGGCCAATGGATTCCTATCACGATATATACAGGAAGGACAGATGAGATCACAGACTTGGGGGGGATTACATCTGAAACTAAACACTATGGCTGTGTCTACATTGGCACCCCTTTCCGGAAAAGGGATGCTAATGTAGACTTTGGAATAGGCAAATCCGCGGGGGATTTAAATATCCCCCGCGGCATTTGCATTAACATGACTGCCGCTTTTTTCCAGCTTGGGGAAAAGCCGGAGAAAAGCGCCAGTCTAGACGTTATTTTCCGGAAAATAAAGCCTTTTCCGGAGGATTTTTTATTCATTCCCCTCAACACTCCCCATCCCAATGCACTTACCCTGTCCCAGAGCCAGGCACCCCCAGTGCCAGGAGCACCCCCTCAATCAAATCTTCCCACTCCCTGCAGAGCCAGGCACCAGAGGAATGGGACAGGGTAAGGATAGGAAACCTTACCTTTAAAGTCTCCACTTCTGCCACCCAGCTTGGCTGCCTCGGTTCAGTGTGTAGAGGGAGGCAGCATGTGGCCAGCTCCCGGGTCTCCACTCAAATATCACAGATTTGCCTATTCCAAAGTCTACATTAGCATCCCTTTTCCGGAAGGGATGCCAGTGTAGACGTAGCCTATATGTAGCACTCCAAATTTTGAGGCAGAACAGTAGCATTATGTCAGCAACTGTCAGCCCACAATCATGTTGGTACACTCATAAGCAAGCTATCAGTAAATCCTCCCAGTTTCTAGATGGTTTCTCAGCAGGATGATATACTGAGGGAAAAACAGACAGCAGCACACTGATCAATATGCTGAGAATTTGTCTTATTATAGCCATCCATATTCATGATCGCCCCACCTGTTCAGGAGGGGCAAACACAAAGTTTGAATTAGTTAACTTTACTTTTGATCCTGACACATTTACACAATGTTTGCAGTCGAGATCACAAAAGAACATGCAAAGCCAGAAGCAATTAGAAAACCAGTTTTCATACATTTCATTAAACATTACATTAACAGAAGGGCAAAATGTGAAACCCATGCGAACAAAAAAGTGTTACTCAAGAAAGTTCCAAGGGAGCTATAGTAATTACTTGATGAAGTGGCTAATTTAGTTTAATTCTGAACAACTTGGAAGCAGATCCATCTCCAGCATAACCTCCTTTCTACGTACTCTGCACTCTTCCATATACCTCAAAACTATAGACGCATTTTTAAATTCTTAGTTCCAAGCGAAAATGGCTCCTAAATCCAGTCAGATGTTTTCATGATACATCTCTAGAAGAAAAGATCAGTCACATTGTTTAGGAGTAGGTTGATTTTACAATGAGAAGGAGTCAGGCAGGAGAAGTGCTGTGCTGCTCACACCCCATTCCTCACTGCTCAGAGGCTTAAAACAACAGGACACTGCAAATACTGAAACAAAAAATGGAAGAATTAACATGTTTGCCAAACAATGTTCCACACACATCAAGATACGTTAATATAGATAAATCATGCCGGATATATCAAGAGAGAACAATCGCCTAGACACAGACATTGTACTTCTATTACAAATCCGTTCTTCCATTATTTACACAGTTCCACTCTGTAAGGTATGCAACACATAAACTGATCATTGAGACAGTGAAGTAAACACGTGTGTAGAGAACAATGATGATTTATTTTACATTTTCATGCAGTCTGTATTGCCAAAAATTCATACTTAAGTACCTAAAACTAGGCACCTAAATTAAGTAATTAGGCTTCTAAATAAGCTGCCTGTTTTCAGAATTTCAAGCACATAGAATTTTCACAGAGACATAACACTGTTTTCCTATTTACGTTTTCTATATGACAGATAACCGTCATGTCTAAGTCTTAATATCAGTTTTCTTTGTGTTTCAGGGGTGATTGGATTCAGGATGTTTGTTTAAAATCCTTATAAAGATAGACACAAGCCTCAATTACAAACGTTCTGAAAGTTTGTGGAAAATGGGATCTGGATTCATTTCCATTTTCAATACATCTTTTATTTATCATAAAAACTGGCAGAATCTCTCTTTGGAAATGTGTATATCAGACTGACTTAAGAAATTATCATTTAGATAAATAAATAAAGTATTTCCCCTTTTCCATGCCTGCAGCAGTTCGAATCCTTCACCGATTTTTATCAAAAGGCCAAGTGAGGGTTATTAATACATCTGAGTTATAGTCTTGTTCATGTACTCAGACTCAGCCAAGTGAGGGTTATTAATACATCTGAGTTATATTCTTGTTCATGTACTCAGACACTGGTTTAAGGAAAAGAACTTTGAACTTTCCCCCTTAAAAAAAACCCAGTACCCTCTTGCATTGCACACTGCACTGCAAAGAAGAGAAAAAATGTATAATGTGACATGCATTTGAGAAGATGGAAAGGAAAGAAAAATCAAGTTAATCAAATGAAGATGAGATGGGTTTAGCTGCAGATGTGTTAACAATAAGAATTAACTCTGCTTCATACAGAAGTGTACTGCATTGGCATACAGGGCTCAGATCAGCACCACAACACCTGGAGCAGTGCTAATCTCACCAGAATGAGACTATGAAGACTCAGTTTGATCCTTTGTGTTTAGTTTCCAGAATTCTTCCTGAGGAGATCAGCAGCACCAATATTTCCATATCAGGTTTGATTGTTTTAAATCACAAAATATTTAAATCCCTGATTTTAATCATGATTTAAATCTGCAATCAGGCAGCATTGAAATAATGAATTTCAATCTTGTGTTCATTTGTACTTTTTTGTTATTTTCCCAAACTTAGAGGTTGGTAGATATTAAAACATGTAGATTTGCCTTTTCACTGAATTTGATATTTCTTTTTGCTGAACAGGAGTTTACATCAGCTATTCCTATTTATTTACCTTAACGGACATTTATTTAAAGTCTTAATTTTGAAATTCTGATGTTAGAAAATGGTGAGTGGCATATTTCTTATATACTAGATGATAGAAATCACAAGTGAACATCAATTCTATTTGGTTGGAAACTGGAATTCAAAATAGAAATTTGAAAAAAAAAACATTTTTAGTACTTAAATGCACTGGTTACATGAGGAAAAAGTTACTCTAACACATTTTGCATTTAAAACAAACAGATGTGTTAAGCTAAGAAAGTATGGAAGTGATTCTTGCTAGTCAGATTTCATCCTCATCTAACACATTTTGCATTTAAAACAAACTAATGTGTTAAGCTAAGGAAGTATGGAAGTGATTCTTGCTAGTCACTGTATGCTTCAGTGTTTCAGATTTCATCCTCGCACTTAGTTTCTTTACATGGACAGGAAGAAGAAAAACAAGCTTTTTTGCCTTTTCAACTCCCCACTGATTTCGTAACTGCAAATGAACAAGTCAATGAATTGAATTAGCTGAATAAACTGAAGTATGTATAATCCATGCACCTGCAGAAGAGGTTACAGCTGTCAAAAGCTGGGTTAGCAGCCTAGCACACTGTGGGTTTAGGTGCTTAGCCAGTAACCTCCAGTTCTGTGGTTTGACATTCTTTAAAACTTTAGTAGTAAACATGTACCACTTAATATTGTTTATTTAGTATAAAGTATTTTACAGAGCAGTCATCAAATGTAATTTTAAATACAATTATTTCTAAAAAAACAATTTAATACGCAGCACAGAGTAGGCAGTTCGAATTAGGCTAATTCGAACTACCGTTACTCCTCGTGGAACGAGGTGCTTAAGGAGACATACCCTAAGGTGCTTAAGGAGAGGGTACGTACCTTTCAATAACTAGAGTTCTTCAGGGTGTACAATTATTTCTAAAAAAACAATTTAAATTTCAAAAAATCTAATTTTTTTAAAGAATTATTCATTTGTATCCATCCTGTTTCATGCTATGCACTGCCTGTGCAACATGTATCTTCCATCTCTGGCTGTTCCCCTGCAGCAAGACCTTTTCCTTGCATCCCCTTGAGATCAGATTCTGTGAACTTCACAAGTACATCGGAGTTCTCAAAATTCTGCTTAACTCATTACCTCCTATCAAACTTGCCTTCCATTGGCACATAGAGAACAGCAACATAGTGTCAAAGGAGCTCTGTGATCCTGAAGAGGGTGCTCCTACCAGCACACTAGTCCCATAGTCCAAGTGGCATGAGGGCAGGACAGCCATCTGTTTTAAAACACAAACAGACCATATAAAGCAGGCAAGGAAGTTATGAAATAAGCTTCTATTCAGAGCTCTAAAAAAAATCTATTTGTAATTTTTCCATAGTACTGAAATTTGCTAAAAGGAAGACTGTTCACATGGAGTAGCTAGGGTAGGGCCAATTGGTGATACCCCGACTCCACAAATAAACCCATGGAAGTCAATGGAAGCTGTTAGGTGCTCAGGCATTTGAAAGAAAGGTTACTAATTAAGGGTATGTATACACTACCACCCTAGTTTGAACTAGGGTGGTTAATGTAGTCAATCAAAGTTGCAAATGAAGCCCGGGATTTAAATATCCCGGGCTTCATTTGCATCTTGACGGGCGCCGCAATTTTTAAATTCCCGGTAGTTCGGACTCCATGCCCGTGGCTACACGCAGCACGGAGTAGGCAGTTCGAATTAGGCTTTCTAATTCGAACTACTGTTACTCCTCGTGGAACGAGGTGCTTAAGGACACATATCCTAAGGTGCTTAAGGAGAGGGTACTTACTTTTCAATAACTAGAGTTCTTCAGGGTATTCTGTCCCTGGATGTGCTTCAGGTTGACAACCCTCCCAGTTTCACCAGGAGTCTAATGGAATTAGGCTTAATCTCTCAGAGGCTACTGCAGCCAATCTGGGAGATATTCAGCTGTTGAAATCCAACAGTGCAGCGGGGCTATGGCAGGCCGCAGCCTACCATGGCCCCACGGTGCTCCCAGAAGTGGCTGGTACTTCCCTGCAGTCCCTGGAAGGGCAGGGGGTTCCCCACATGCAGCCCCTGCTCTGAGTGCTGACTCCACAGCTCCCATTATACAAGAACCATAGATAGTCTAGAACCCTTGGCAGTACATAAACTCATTCAGCAAGCCCGTGCTTATATGGGCTGTATGTAGTCCTGAGCTAGACTGAAGACACCAAAAATGTTGTGTCTCATGTGGCGTAATAAATACTGACGCTCATGTAAGAGCTGAAGGAAGTGCCTTACTGTTGTCTGAAGCCTCAGCTGTAGTTAGTGATTAAACTGGAAACGGTGGAGAACCGGTCCCCTAGCACATGGGCTCTATCAGTTCAGGCAGCCAAATTAGGCCCATGAAATCTATTGACTAGTTGCTTATATCCCTACCCCAGGACAGAATCCTCTTCTGCATCCACAGCCCCACCCTGTCCCTGCACTCCATTCCCCTGCCCCAGATCATAACCCCCTCCTTCACCCAAACTCCCTCAGACCACATACCATCTCCTGCACCCCAGTCCCATACCCTGTGCACCCTTCTGCACTCAACCTCCATGTTAGACCCCATACCTCCCACACAGAAAAGTGTGGCTCTTGACCACTTTCCAAAATCTTGGAGTGGCCCCCCCACCAAAAATTATTGCACACCCCTGCTCTAGTCTATTTGCCAGCAGCTGGGAGTGGGTGACAGGGGATGGATCACTTGATGATTACCTGTTCTGTACATTCAGTTTGAAGCATTTGCATTAGCCACTGTTGGAAGTCAGGATACTGGGCTAGATGGACCATTGGTCTGACCCAGTATGGCCATTCATCTAGGCAGGGAAAGACTGTGGGAACATTTCAACTCTACTAAGAGGACCTCTGTGAAAACTCATAGGTCCATGATATAGATGATGTTCTGGGCCAATGATGAAACACAGAAAACATCTATGGGAGGGATGCATGGTGACATGAAAACACGTTTTGAAGTTTGAGGACAGTAAACTAAATGGGACATGAAAACACGTTTTGAAGTTTGAGGACAGTAAACTAATCCTCCTGGTTCAGGGATGGGATTATGGTAGCAAGTCTCCATCCTGAAATGCTTTGAAAGGATACAGGTGTTCAGGTTCCTGAGGTTTAGTCTCCAACCCCCATTTCTTTAGGGAGCCAGGAAATATTTGGAGTAAAAGCCTCTTCCCACAAATTCTGAGGCAGTTGGTACTTTTGTTTCTAGGCTGAAGAGGGACTGAAATTCTTGTTTCAAAAGATCCTAGTGAAACAGATCCCTGACGGGTGAAGAAGGAGAGGAGAATAGAATGGAAGTGGAGAGAGTAACATATTGCCACAACCTTTAAAATCCACCTGTCTGTGGTGACATATTCCTAAGTGGGTAAGAATGTGTCAGGTGGTTCCCAAAGGAAGGGTTGTAATTGGGTTCACACAGCACATTTAGAGAAGGGGATAGTTTATGGCCCTTAACTAGGCCATCAGAATTGTTGTTTGGGGCAGGTCAGAGTATGAAGGTTGTCACTGGAGTTGTCCCTTAACTATGAGTCCAAGGTCTCCTTCTCAGAGGCTCTGTAGGTCTGGAATAGGCCTGGTATTATTGATGTTGGAATGGCTGGGATTATTGTGCTGACTGAAATGGATTGGAATATCTCTTTTTTCAGGAATGTAGATTCTAAACAACCTCAGAGTAACCCTCTAACCCTTGAAGAAGTGAAATGAGTTGTCAGTATCGCAGCTGATTTTTTAAAAAGGCTTCAGAGGTCATTATGGCAATTATAGGTGAGTAAGCCTAACTTCAGTGCCAGGTAATTGGGTTGAAGCTATAGTAAAGAACAGAATTATCAGACAATATGTTAATGACACAACTTTTGTAAAGGAAAAAAATATCTCACCAATCAATTAGAATTAATTCAGGGAGAGAATAACGATGAACAAGGGTGATCTAGTGGAAATAGTGTTCATTGTCCTTCAGAAAGCCTTTGACAAGAACTCCTCACCAAAGGCTGTTAAGCAAAGTAAGCAGTCTTGGGATAAGAGGATCAGAAACTGATTGAAAAATCGGAAACACAACGTAGAAATAAATGGTCAGTTTTCACAAGGGAGAGAGGTACAAGATTCCAAGGACCTGTACTGCGACTAGTGTTGTTCATAAATGATCTAGAAAAAGAGGGTACACTAAGGTGGCAGATGGTACAAAATTTCTCAAGATACTTAAGCCCAAAGCTGACTGCAAAGAGTTACAAAAGCATCTCACGAAATTCACTGAAGATGAAATTCAGTGTTGATAAATGCAAAGTAATGCTCATTGGAAAAAATAATCCCAGCTGCACATACAAAATGATGGCGTCTAAATGAGCACTTACCACTCACAAAAGAGATCTTGGAGTCATTGTGGATAGTTCTCTGAAAATGTCTTTTCAGTGTGCAGCACCGGACCAACAAGGCTAACAGTGTTAGGAACCAGTAAGATAGGGATCGATAATGAATGGAAAATATCATAATGCTATTATATAAACCTATGGGATGACCATATTTTGAATAATGCATGCAGTATTCATCTCCCTATTTCAAACAAGACATTAGAATTGGAAAAGATACAGAGAAGTGCAATGAAAATTATGAGGGGTATGGAACAGCATCTGTATGAAGAGCGATTATAAAGACGGGGACAATTCAGATTAGAAAAGAGAGAATAAAGGGAGACACAATAGAGGCCTATAAAATCATATATGGTGTGGAGAAAGAGAATACTTACTCCTTCACATAACACAAGAACTGGAGGCCACCAACTGAAATTATTAGGCAATAGGTTCTCAGCAAACAAAAGGAAGTTTTTCTCCACATAACAACTGGAGGCCACCAACTGAAATTATTAGGCAATAGGTTCTCAGCAAACAAAAGGTTTTTCTCCACATAACACATTCAACCTGTGGAACTTGTTGCCACTGGATGTTCTGAAAAAAATTAAAAATTGTTAAAAATATTAGATAAGTTCACATACCAGCCCCATCAATGGACATTAGCCAATCTGGTTGGGGTGCAATTCCATGCTCTGGGCATCCCTAAATCTCTTTCAGAAGTATAAGGCTATGGCTACTCAGAGGAGGATACTGGACCACCGGTCTGATTCAGGATAGCCATTTTTAGGGTTAGTGCATAGAACTGAGAATTTTTTTCAGTGGAATAAGTCTGCAGTCCCCTGTCCGCTTCGCAGGGATGTATCTGTTTCACAGGGATGTATCTGTTTCACAGGGATTTCACAGGGATGTATCTGTTTCAATAAAAGTTTTGCCAGGAATGCAAGAAAAGGACTCACGCAGACTCAGTAGCCTGCAGAACAGACTCAGGAGTTGGGAAACCAGATTTCAACCTCTGCTCTGCCTGTTCATAACTAAGTTGTATTACATCCCAGATCACTCAAACCCCTACAGAGCAGGGACTTGACCTTTGGTCTCATCCACATCCAATGCAAGTACTGTAACCTCCCAATCACACAGTGACTTGCACACCATGCAAATGAATATTTCATAAGGGTTTGTGTTCAATATTATTAATTCCATTTTACAGGTGGGGAAATGGAGGCAGAAACCGGTGAGGTGAGATATGCAAGGTCACACAGGAAATGTTTCTCATGAACAGGTTGCCGAAAACTAATCAAATCAGAAATTCTATTTTATTTTATGACTTATTATAGACAAGTATCTTTTTTTAACTGATTATCTTTATACAATCAATCCATGCAAACTGTGTTGACGGCTATGTATCAATAAGAAATGTACACATGTTCAGTGATGCCCTGAAACCTACTGAACATTTGACAAGCCACACGAGATTATGCTATGCTTGGAAATTAAAAGGAAAGAGAATCCACTGGTCTCGACTATTTGAATAAAGTATTTAGATTGCTAGCCTTCACATGCTCTGTTTTTTCATGTTTTCAGTGTCAAGGTATTTGCTGATATATTTTTTAAAGAAATCGTCCTTTCCACAGCCATCGATCCGGATCCATTTTCACAGCTTCTACTTAACCTAGGAATTTTATGTTCTTTCCGGATTTCGTGTCTCTATATTTAAGATAAGGAATGGAGTCTGGAGTCAGTGTGCTGTGTTGCTAGCAGGATATTGGGGAAATGGAAATGCTGGGTTCCATTCTCAGTTCTGCTACTGAATCCATTTTGTGATTATGGGAAAGTCACTTGACCTTTCTGTACCTCCATTTATGAATGAGTATAATAATACTCGGCGCAGCAAGGCTTTAATAATTGATATGGTTTGAGACCTTTGAGAGAAAGGCTCTTTATGGGCCTGATCCAAAGTTCACCCAAGTCAGTGGGATCTGGGTATTGCTTTCAGAATCGGGCCCTAAGTGCAACGTGTTATTTTATTATTAATGAAAGCAAATTATTTCATTATCGGGGAGTCTACTTCAGCAAAAAAAAGAAAAGAACAAATAAAACCTCTCACTTTATCCATTCCATTGCTGAGAGGTGTTTGTGCAGGCAGGAAATCTAATAAGATCACTGCACTTAGCTTTGGTGACAGACGACCAAAGAAAATGTTGACTCCTTAGAAGAGGAAAGCTTGACAATGCAGCAGTACAAGTCATAGGGAAAACTACACAATGACTCATTATTTATTAACAAATAAACAACCCACAGCAGGATGTAGTAGTCTGGGATGGATGGATGGCTCATAAGGAGCGGAGGAAACTGCAAGACAACTGGAATATTATGACTATCTTTAACCACACAATGCAATTGGAGATTTCGTTTCACAGTTATTGCAGTTCTCTAATTCCATGTACACCATTCTGAAGTGACACAGAAAGGTTTCCCATGGTCAATAATTCC